TTCTGGCCTGAGGATGCGCCTACCTTCACATCTTGGATTCTGACCTTGTGCTTCGGAAGGCAGCCCCCCAGGTTTGGAATTCTGGCCCTGAGGGCGTGATTTCCCTTCATTTCAGATCTTGGATTCTGACCTTGGCTTTGAACGTCATACCTCCCGGCTCGGAATTCCGGTCCTAGGGATGTGCCTACCCTTCACATCTTGCATTCTGACCTTGGCTGTGGAAGCCATACCCCCAGGCTCGGAATTCTGACCTTGGAGGCGTGCTTTCCCTGGTCCCACTTCTCTCTGGTACTGGCATTGAGCAGTCATCCGCTTGCACGCTATATGTCTTTCGTCCTGGATCTCAATCGGTTTTGTCGCAAAAGACTCATCCAAGCCAATTGCACTTGACCTTGATGCTCCAATTCGCAGCATAAACGATGCATGTCGTCCTGATCTTGCCGCTTGCTTCGTGGAGCACCGACGATGATTGAAAACGTAATAATGGATAGTGTTGCTGAAACTCACTCGTCGGGCAGTGATCGAAATACGGAAAAAAAAGCATTTACATCGCAGATTGTTCGCCTGGAGCCGCGCGCCAGAACGAGGACCCCAACGAGGAAGATCAACGAGTTGCCTTCCTGGACAGACGCCGCGATATGCTCGCCCATCGACTCACAGCAACTTGTGGAGCCGGACACCATGCGGACTACCCAGAAACACTGTACCACGGAGCTCAGCAGCCGCAAAGGCACAAACCAGAACATCATTTACGAGGATCATACTTCACGACAGCCACGCCAATCCAAAACCAGTGGACCAGGGAGCTTCTTGGCAGCACAGAAACAAACGAGAACATCATTTGCGACGTCAAAGTCAACAGCAGCTACGTCAATCCGAGAACACAGTACCTAGGAGCTCAGCAGCAGCACAGAAGTCAGCGAGAACACTATTTACGTCGGAGTTCATAGCAGCCACGTCAATCCGAGAGCACCGTGCCAGTGAGCCGAGCAGCAGCACGGAAACAAACGAGAAGACCGTTTACGAGGTCAAAATCAACGACAGCCACGCCAATCCGAGCGCGCTTTGCCAAGCAACACAGCAGCCGCAAGGAGACAAACGAGGACACTATTTACGAAGGCCCAGCCAACGACAACCACGCCAATCCGAGAGCCGGCTGGAGCGTCGAAGTTTGCGCGCTGAATAGGAAGAAGGCAGCTCGGCTCACAGCAACAAACTGGGCTCGATGGAACTCTCAAGCCTGCTCGATCCATGCAAATTCCTGCGGGAAGTCAATGTTGGAACCATGACGATACACCGAAACGCCCAGCCTCGCCAGGAGACGAATGGAGGTGCTGAGAAGGTCAGCGGCTGCAAAGAAACTCACGAGAGCAGCATCTACGGCTTCGAAAGTCAACGATAGCGAGGCCAATCTGACCAATCTCTACAGACTCAATTGAAGTCCAAATTCCCGTCACATCGGCAAAACATTGACACTGAAGGCATATCTGTGGGTCAGGGTAGCTGTGTGCAATCTTTGTTGTCGGCACCAAACCCGTGCGCGTTGACTTCAACGGAAGCAAGGCCGGGAAACTGCGACGTCGCAGATGTCTTCGATACGGCCATTTGAGGTGGCGACAAACAGTGCTTGCATCTCAAATCTATCACATGCCGTCTTCGAAATCAACATTGCCGATCGCAATACGCCGCAAGAGCATTCAAATCTCGAAGAAAAATCACCTACCGTCTTCGAAGTTAACATTTTCAACTACACTGCTATTCCAGCGTTCACAGACAGCTTTCTCAAATATTGTAGAAACAAAGATCGCACTTCGCATCGCCTCTCTTTGCCTTTCCTTCCTCCAGATCGAAGTAAATTTGCAGGTAGGTGTACGACTTCGTTCCGCTGAATTTTCGCGAATCTGAGGTAGGCGTAGACGTCGGTCGTATCCCAAGCTCTTGCTGAAATCAAAACACACTTCTCCCTCTTTCCTCTTAGATCTCCGCTGAGATCTCCGACCTGCTCCTCCGTCTTCGTAGTGGTATGCAAATCTTTGTCAAGACTCTCACCGACAACACTAGGCCGCACCATCTCTGATTACAACATTCAGAAGAAGTCCACCCTCTAGCTTCCTCCGTCCCGTCTCCGTGGTGGTATACAGATTTTTGTCAAGACTCTCACACTGGAAGTGGAATCATCAGACACCATCGACAACGTCAAGCCGAAGATTCAAGACAAGGAGGGAATCCCACCAGACCAGCAGCGTCTCATTTTCGCCAGCAAGCAGCTCGAGAGAACTGCCGCACTCTCTCCGACTACAACATCCAGAAAGAATCCTCGCCTCTCCTCCGTCTCTCCTCCCGCCAGAAAAAAAAATGGCACATACATTCGCCTCCCCAGCCCGCGAACAGACTCCTCTGGCCTCCCACCTGCGCATTTTGGAAGAACATACATATTACCACCAAGTCGCGGAGAGCATGCAATTCAAACGCACCAAAATTTCCCAGATTCAGACGCTGCAGCATAAAATCACGGAAGCGTTCGGACACATTCATAACGCGCAAATCAATCTTTACGCTTACAATCGCTGGTTTCGCGAGCATTATCCAGCAGCATATGCGGAGTTTTTGGCCTCGTTTGCGGAGAGGGAGAGGTTGGAGGAGTGTTTGGAGGTTGTGGAGCAGGATATTTCGAAGCAGAAGGGTATCGTGGAGTCGATTTTGGGGTGTTGGCCGGAGTTTGGGTGGAGGTTTGGGACGAATGGGTCGTTGAGTCCGGGGTTTTGGTCGATTGCTATGTTGAGGAAGTTGGCGTTTTTAGCGAAGAGGGGGGAGTGTGAGTATGTGGTGGCGTGTGTAGAGGAGGCGGTAATGGAAAGGGTAAGGGATCGGGTGGGAAGAGCTGGGGTGCCGAGAGAGCCGAGGGTGATGAGTTGTGATTTGGAATCGGTCAGAGGGAGGTTGGAAGAGGAGGAGAAGGCTGGAGGAGGAGAGGAGGGGAGGGGGAGTGTTCGGGTAGGGGAGAAGAGGAAGAGGAAGGGAAGATTGGCTGCGCCGAACTGGGCTGCTCGAGATGCCTATAGGGCAAAATTTCAGGCTGGTCAGTATGGCAGTAATGCTAGGGAGGGGGATGGAGGATTGGGAGAGGAAGAAGAAGACGAAGAGCCAGTGGATGAAGGAGGAGAAGGAGATTCCGTGGAGGGAGGTCGGGCGGGCGGTTCTCCGCTACAAGATGCCTCCTCCGTCGCCGCTCAGGGCGGCGATGGCGAGGACGACAACGACGACGAAGACGAAGACGACGATGATGAAGATGAGGACGAGGATGAGCCAGCACCACCACCAGCGCCGCCAAAGAAGAAGACCCGCGGCCCGAACAAAACCGGGCCTCTCGATGCTGCCGAAGAGCAGACTTTGCTGCGCCTTTTGAGGCGATACCAGCCCGCTTCTGCTCGGGTGGATAGTGCTCGCAAGAGCATTATTCGAGATCTGTCGTAGTGGATTTTTTTTCTAGAAAATCGATACCTTTACCGCCCGCAGCTTCTCGTTCGTAATTTCGAAACTTTTTCTAGGGTTACTTTTCTTTATTACTAAGATAGAAGGAACAAGATATTAAAAATAATTTTCTTGTTAAGAAGTTAGTATATATAGAGTTATACTACTAGTAGCAGTTTTAAGGATTTACAGAAATAATTAACAAGGAAAGAAATATCTATAGATAATAATATCCTCGAAAATACTATTACTATAGTATCTTTATAAAGTTATAGATTTGCTTTCATACTATATAGCTATTCTTAATATCTAGTTAGTATAGAGCAAAAGGAGTGAAAGATTTTTAGTAGTTATATAAAAAGTATTTTAATAAAAAGAGATTTAACAGTTTAGATCTATATATAATAAATAGTAGATTATTTTATTTTTATATAAACAATAAGACTGTAATATATAACTTTATAGATCTTAAGAATAAAGTAGAATTAGCGTATATTTTAATACTATTTAAATTATCTATAGTAGTATAAGAGGAGTAGATAAATAGATAAATAGATATAATATAGGAGTTAGATTTCTCTATATAGTAATACCTAAAGGACTCGAAAGGAGAGAGAGTAAATATAGAGTTTTTATAGTACGCTAAGCTAGCCTCTACGAATCGGATATATAGCGCTACCGAGGAGCTTACAAATTAGTTATAAGTTAGGGTTCCTTAATAGTATCCCTCCCTCCCCTAGTAGTCTATCTCCTAGTTTAGAGGGAATTTCGTACCTATTACCTATCCTTACTAGTCTCGTAATACGAGCCTTAGATTAGTTACTCTATTATCTATTACTTACCCTTTTTAATAGTTTTCTATAGTTACGCGGTACGTAGTCGTTATAGCTATAGGGCGGTAATAAAGGTATAGTAATTCGCCCTCGCGGGCTCTATACTTAAAGTAGTACTTTTTCCTTTAACCTTCCTTATTCTTTTCTACTATAACGAGCCTTCGGAGTAATAAATTAATAATTAGTTATTAAACTATCGTTATAAGTCGAGGCTTTAGTACGCTATAACGTTCTACGCCGTCGCTAATTCTAGCTAGGGATAGTATTCTTAGCTATCGTAATTTTAAAGAGCTAAACTTAAATAATGCCGCGTAGAGTAGGTATTAGCGGCGTTCTATAATAGTATCGGTAGCTAATCGTTATAAGCCGGTCGTCTTCTATCGGGGTAGTAACTATATTAAATAATAGTTTAAATTTAGTTCGTATATATAGGTAATAATACGGCTTTTAATAGTAAATAGGCTAAGGTACTTACTATTAAGCCTTTTATAAAGACGGCGAGTATAGATATTCTTTCCCGAAATAAAGACTCTTTTCCTTCGGTCTTAGACTAATCTACTATAGTATCTCTTTTATAAGATTATAGGATACTCTAGGCTAGCTTTAGCGTAAGCTAATTCTTCTTACCTTACTAGGACCTATACGTAGAATTATTCCGCTAGCTTTTAAGACTTCGACGTAGTTTCGGCGTCTCTTTACCCTCCTACTAGTAGGTATTCTTAGTCGGTAGTACGACTAATACCGTCTATAGTATCTAGAACGATACTATAGGCAATTTAAATCGGTAACTTCTCTAGGCCGGCGTAGACTTTACTATTATACGCTAGCGCGTCTATATAAAGAAGCTATACCTAGTCGTCCTAATCCTAACTATAGGAGATAGAGAGATAAGTTTCGAGGTTCTAGTTCGAATACTCGGTTTGCCTGTCCGTTTAGAGATAGAAGGTAGTACTAAGTCTTCTCTTATAAGCTACGTAGTAATAGCTCGCGCTATAGTATATACTTATAAAGACCGAGCTACGATCTAATAAGATACTACTAGGTACGCTACTACTATAGACAGCTTTATAGAATATAGTTTCTACTAGCTATACTATATCGATTTTTAAAGTAATAGGGAAATACTAAACTATCTTTTAAAACCTATCGACGATAACTAGACTTAAGTCGTAAACGCGGCTATTAAAACACTTTAAGGATAGGAGCCCTATAATAAAGTCTATAGAGATATATTTCTAGGTTTCTAAGAATATTTCTAAGGGCTTTAATATCCCGTAAGGGTTATACCGTTTAACCTTAGTCCTCTAGTATATATCGTATTCTACGATATATTTCTCGACGTCTTTCGTAATATCCTTTTAGGCGTATTTAGCGGTAATAGCTTCTTAGGTACGCTACTTACTATAATATTCTACTATCGGGTCGTCGTAGTTTTAGTATAAGATCTCTTACTATAGGGTCGCGCGTAGTAGTACGTAGGCCTTACCTTAAAAGCGTAGAAGTCCTTTACTATAAAAAGTATACTTATTTATCTCGGTATATTCGACTAGGTTAGTCCTAATTTTCTCTCTTAGTATTAATTCCTTATTACCGTAGCGCTCTATTGCTATCTTAACGTCTTATATAAAGGGATCCTTTAATTATATCGAGTAAATTAGATCTAAAGGGGATTTCGGAGCCTTATAGGTAAAGGGTTCTTTATTACTATTCTTAATAGGAACCCGACTAAGTCCGTAATAGTTAGTATAGAGTCGTATCCTACTATCTTTCTTTAGAACGAAGAGAATAGGAGCGCCGCTTAGCGATTTACCTAGACATATCTAGCTATTCTCGAGGACGCTATTAATATACCTACGTAGAGTTTTTAGCTCTTTTTAGAAGAGGTTATAGATAGGTATCTATAGAAGTAACTTACCTTCTTCGAGGTCGATAGTATAGTCGTACTATAAATTCTACGCTAGGATACCGGCGGGTTTTAGGTTAGAGACGTCTTTATACTCGTAGTACTAATAAGGAATGTCTTAAGTAACCTATACTAAGGTAATAAGGTCGGTATAGACTTAGTTAGCAACTTCTTAAAGTTTAGGGCTATCTCTATAAAGGTTTTAGAGTCGATCCTATACCGCTACGGTAGCTAGCTACTACTAGTCGGGTTTTCTTTTATCTAGGTTAATAGTTATAGGGTTATAGTTACCTTCGCCTTATCTATTTACAATATAAAGTATATCCTTTAAGGCGAAGGAGCGTATAGGCTCCGCGACTATAGCGATATTCTTATATAGAGATACTAGAGCTAGTCTAAAGTTAGAGTTATTAGGGGTATTAGTAGATACTATATATAGGCTATTTTCTAGAGAGTAGTAGCTCGTACTATCGATAATAGACGTAAAAATAGGGGCGGCGGTCCCTTTTATATCGGTACTACTATTATTAGAATACTATATAAAGGTAGCCTTCTAAAAGCTAGTAAGGGGCGAGGTAGCCGCAAGCTAGTTATATCCGAGAACTATATTATAGCCTTAGAAGGCTTCTACCTAGAAGATCTAATTAGCCCTTCTCTATACTAAAAGACTATCTTTAATAGAGATAGAGAGCCGATACGCTTTAAAAAGCCTTATTTTATTATTATTAAGGAACCTTATATTTAGTATAGGTAGGGCGAGGGATTAGAGTTATAGAAGTCGTAAAGTATAGATAGAGATTAGGTTTAGCTATACGCCGTAGTTAATAAGCGTCTAAGGCCGTTTCGAAATACTATCGATACAGATATCTACGTAAATATATCTCTCTCGTCCCTATTAGAATACTCGCGAATATACGAGGCTAGTTGGATTTATAAGTAAGAGAAAGAGACGGAATCTTTAGGATTATTTACTAATAGCTAAGTAATAGCTTATAACTCTTAGCGCTACGGTATATAAATAGCTAGTAAGTCCTTTATTTAAATAATAAACAATTATATCGGTTTACTGCTTATCTATAATAGTTATAAGCCTAGAACGTAAGTATAGGAACGAGAAGGCTCGAGGAAATACCCGACTAGGCAATCCGCGTACGTAAGCTTAAACTTTATTCGACGTTACTCCGTTAATCGAAAAAGCGACTAGCTTTAAATAATAATAAGACAACGGTTATTATACCGCTATAGATACTAGTCTTTAGGTAAAAGAAACTAACTAATAAGACTAAACGAACTAAAAATTACTACGATACGACTACTATAAGTCGAGATATAAAACGATAAAGATATCTATTACTAAAACAACTCTCGGCGCGGTAAAAGGAGTTCCGTAGCTTACTACCGAGAACTATACTATCTAGATCGATTTTATTTAAGACTATTTATCCGAATAAGGCCTTTAGGAGTATAGGGACGGTATACTAGAATCTATAAGCCGAGATTCGACTAAGCTAAAAGAAGCTAAAAAAGAAGACGTAAAAGCGGTTACGTTTATTAAGTCTACGGCCGGGGATAAGCGTATATATCTCCTAGGACTACGTACGACTAAGGAGGTAATCGAAAAAATATAGGAAGTAAGCGAGGTATTAACTAAGGAACGGGTTTCGACGCTACTCTCCCGTTTCTACTCTTTTAAGGCCCTTAAGGATATCGATATTACGGCTTTATCTCTTACGTAAATCTAACCCTAGATTAAGGCTGCGGACTAAGACAAAACTCCCTCGGAGGCCTCTAAGAAGGCAGTCCCTATATCGTCTTTAGAAGAAGAGTATTTATCTACTATATTCGCCTTAAAGGTAGCCGGTTTATCTACTCTTTCCTATAAGGAACTAGTTTAACGACTACGGGACGTTTAATATACTATTACTATTTCTAAAAATAATATAGTAGTAGCCCGATATACTAAGGATTTAGTAAAAAGTAAGGCTAGTAATAGAAAAAAGGGTAATGTGTGTTATAAAAGCTTTTTTCCCGATCGCGAAGATCCTATCGATAGGATCGCTTAGGATCCTCGAGATCGTACGTTAAAGATCCTATTAGATAGGATCGCTTAGGATCGTAGGGTCGCGATCCTATCGATAGGATCGTCGCGATTATAAATTTCGGGATAGGCTATCCCGAAATTCGAGGCCTAGGAACGTAAAGAACGCGGGATAAGTTAGAGCCTACGGGATAAGTTAGAGCCCGACTACTACCGTAACTAATACTCC